CTGAAAATTGCTGTACATGTAGGCAATGGTCAATCATACCGTAAGCAAGCCAACTAGACCATCTGAATCAGGTCCTACCGCAGAAAAAGCCTAACAGACAGATCCAGTGAGCTTTTCTGCATGACGAAACATGGCCTCTTACGGCAAACGTCGTCAAAACTATCCTGCACGATTTGACTGGAAGGTACTTTAGTACCCGAGTACTCTCCAAACCTCGCTCTATCAGATTATTATTTGCTCCGCTCTTTGGCAAACCTCTTGCATGGTGCCTGTCTCGATTTCAGTACGTAGTTTGAGCGCTGGTTAAGTGACTTTTTTGGGACCCGGCGCGCTGCCGTTTAAAAAATTGAGGTTGAGAAGCTAACAAGAATGTGCCAAAAGGTCGTGCGCCACGACGAGGAATACAGATTTGATTGATTTTTACTGTTATTTGATGATTTTGTTAATTTATAAAAACGCTACGAACTTATGGAACGACTTAATGCTTACTAGTCGCCAAATCCAGATCCGCCGGCCTTGCCAATAATTCGTAATCAGCGTGCTCACTTACCTCCCCCTCCCCTCCCCCCCCCCCCCCCCGACCCCTCGTGCCAACTCCCAGCCTCGTAGGTGAAGGTTTTCAAAAAACATTCACAAAATCGATATCGATCAGTGACGAAAAGTAGCCAAAATTATGTTAATTCTCTTGTAGATGTCACTGATTCACGTAAAAGTCACTCTTTTATGTCGTTACTAATCTTACTTCCCCAATTTTTACGTTCAGAAGAGTACTCCTAATATTTTCTGGCTTACTTCTCCCAATCCGAATCACAATGAAGGAGAGGGGTCAGAATGGGGTTTTTCAAAAACGTTTTTGTCATGCCATATAATTATGCTCCTTGTCTTCAAGTTTCATTTTCATGGCTAATCCTCAAGCCCTTTTTTTATTGCTAGTCTGTATCATTGAGAGTACGGTTTTGATGCTGAACAGGTCGATGACATGAAATTTTTCAATTAACATCTATTTTTGTAACAAGCCCATTGATGTAAATTCCATGAACCTGATCGAAATCGTTATCCAGCTTTATGATATTTCACAGTCTTTCCGCTTTTGTTGGGTTCAAAGCTCAATTTCATATAAGTTCTTTGACCTTTCATAAGTCGGAAGTGCAGAGCGGGGGAGTATAGGTTTTTTATTTATTTTCTTGAACGCCGCCCTTGAATTAGAGTTCAACAAGTTGCTTACATTTGGAGAATTTCTGTTGATATCTGCCCTTTGGTATGGGTAGCTATCAGTATGGTGCAGCTTAGCGTTTTTCTCTGTTGTCTGATTAAGTGCTAGGATTATTTTATTGTCCGTTGGGTCTTAAGGTCATTCGCTTTACTTATGGAATGTAAGAAATTGTATGATAAGGAAACGTTTTGATTATGTCATGACCACGTGTTCTATTTACGTAAAACACAAATGCTCTTTTGAAGTTCTAAATACGTGCTTTAGGTCTAAATGCACTATGTCATAAGTATTTTTCGATCTACAAATGATTGATGGCTATGGTGTTGTTTAGAATAGGATTTTGATATAGGAAAATAATAGTTTGTTTATCAAGTAATGCTTTTGTGATCTGGGTGGTCATCTGATGGCAAAGCATTGACCAGCAGTATCCTGACTTTTACAGAATAATAGCTTTGTTATGAACGAAAAAAGTAGTTCTTTCTGTTTCCAAGTCAATAGTGAGGATAGAGAACGGTATGGAATGCAAAAAGGGGAATTTTGTACGCTTGTGACGTATCCGCTTTTGTACTGGAATAATTCTTACAGAAGTTACTGTTAATGTATCACGAAATCCCGATATTTTCACGTTCAATGATTTTTGTAAACAGTGAACATAATACCCGAAAATAGTCCTGAAAGTACGTGTCCTCTGCTTCTGCCAGTGTGATAGTATGAATGTTTTGCTTTTTCTGAGTTTGTGGGGTGTAACTTAACTTTTGCTGAATGTACCTTTTTTTCATTAAAACTTTTACGTATGCTTCCTGTTCTCGCGCTATGAAAAATCGTTGTTGATATGGTATGGTATGCACTTTTCAAAAAGTCTCTGATTTCGCCTCGTTGCAAGAATGATCTTCTTACGTGCGGTCGTTTTTAGCATGGAAAAAGCAAATGTTTACGATGTTTAGATCGTTCATCTTCATCCAAACGCGTTACTGTTTATCAAATGATGATTGTCTGCAGATTGCCTAATTTATCAACAGTCACACAATGTCGGAATTCTCCCTATGAAAAACCTTTGTGTAAAAAAGTTCAAACTGCTCAATGATAATGAAATCCTTCAAAAATCCCAACAAAGAAGTGGTCTTAACCGCACACGTGTGTCGCAAGACGGGTCTTTCCCAAATGAATTTCTGATCTTGTGGTGTAAATTTACGTGATTTTTTCAAAGTAACACGAAATGCTTTTAAGCACAGTTGGTCTGGGCAGAATATGTGCGACTATCGTTGACGTATGAGATTGATAACTGATTCTAACGTATTTTTTCCCCACTCAATACGCACAAGGATACGGTAGCCGGAAGACTATGAGTTGCTTAGAAAACGCTTTCTTCATAAATTTGGGGTCGTTTGCGCGAGTTTTGGCGTTTAATTCTAGCGAGAGGGCGTTTACGACTATCAGTCTTCAATAGAACGTCATTGCTTCTGCGATAAGGTCTAATGCCGAGAATTTATCGGGATAAGGGACCTTTGATTTGCCCATGACGTCATATTGCACAGTTTTCGAGGATTGTGAGTGTAAACTGGGTGCGGAAGCCTAGAGTTTGGCTGTTTTTTTTTTCTTGCAAAAGTTTTTGTAATGGAAACGTTTGTGACGCTTTACTCCCTGCCTTATCTAGTTGCCCCCTTATAAAAAACATTTTTTTGTTCAGGTTTTTCTGTGTGGATTTTTGTTGGCTAGCCAAGATTTGATGACTTCGCCTTATTTTTCTGTGGGTTTAAGTGGGTTCAAGCCCCTAAGTAGGTGAATGGAGATTTTCGAGTATCAGACAAGCTTACTTTGGTTTCAGAATTGCTGTATAATCCTCAACGGTTTTTCGAAAGATTTTATGCATCTAAATTTGGAAACTTTCTAGGTTACCTAGTGATTGGTACCCATTGGAGACCAGCAAAGTGCAAAAGAATTGGTAAACGTAGTGTTTTACCTACAAAGAGGAAGCTTTACTTACCTAAATATATGCGTACATATATAACTTGAAATTTATACTTTTTTCTACCCATTGCAGTTCATTTCACATAATTCAGATGCGAAGTGAACGATTTATTAGTTTGATGCAAAACTAATGCGAATTTTGCATGCAACTGAAAAGATTGTCAATGAAAAAATTTTTTGGAAAAAAATAGAAACCAAAAATTGTCCATTTTTCAGGCTATTTGTGGAGCCCTGAAAGTCTCAACTCATGTAAATTCACAAGTTTCCATGCTCTGAACTGCTAAGTTTCTTGCGGAAAGTTTCAACAAGATGTCCTATCCTTACGCTTACAATAAAAAGCTTTAGCGGGTCGCGTTTTCCAGAGAAATTTTTGGCCCGCGGAGAGCCCACAGCGGGACGTCAATTTTTCAATCTGAGTAATTCCGAAAAATACTATTATTAACACTAGCCGTTTTTTTAAAGGAAAAATGCGTGCATTTGCGTTTGAATGCTGATTAAGAAAGTGACTGCATCAAATATTCAATTTTGAATGCAGATGTGTAAGGTAATGGCAGGAGCCGGTAAGAGGCTTTATCCTAATTTCATGAGTACAAGACGCACCTTTGTCGATTTTTGAAGCGAGCCGCTCAGCCGCTTCCTTGTGTTTCGGAAAAAGAAACATATGCCGCACGATACTCCCAGGCAATAAGCAGCATTTTATAGGGTTTTTTGGTCGCAAAATGTTTCAGTGGTTTAGGCTGGTCTCTGAAGAAAAAAACTAGGTGCGTCCTGTACTCGTGAAAGTAGGGTAATTTTTGCTACAGCTTGAGATCAAAACTGCAGTTGTGATGCCAAACTCGCTTTCGGTGCGTCCTCTTGCAAGGAAAGTCACTGTGTTCTTGAAATGTAGTTCACGCCAATGAAAAAATAATACAAACTCAGTCTCTAGGAATTGGTAGCTGAATAGTCGATTTTTGAAGCAAAAACCTTTGAAATAGTATAGTTTTTGCGGTTCTGGTTCATGGTTCTTCATTAGTCATGACGAGCATCCTATTGTCCACCTGGTGGACAGCAGTGGAAAGGTGACAAATCGAAAACATGACTGCATTGGGCTTCCTACTTCCTTGTGTGTGGTCAAGTTGACAATCTGGTGCATACGTTTGGTAGTAAAATATGTTTTGCAGTTTTGCAAAATTGAATTACCAAGTGCTGGACAAACGATGTCATCTGGTCAATGATTGTTGTGAAATTAGTCTTTCTAACGTGTAATTGTGTGTGGTGCCAAATTTGTCTGAATGGGTTAAAAAAGGCTCAAAATACAATGTTTTGTGTTGCCTAATATTAATTTGAGTACTTTGTCTGATGGCATGGCATTGTATTTTCGCTTACCCATTTTCGAAATCACGAAAATAACATCGCTGTAATTTGGGGAACATTAGGACGGTTGTTACGCTTGTTTTCGTTCAGTTGTAGCCTATTTTGTTATCTGCGGCTTATCGAATGACCTTTGGTTTTCTTTTCTAGAATGTTGACATTTGTTTGTTTATAAATTTACCTTCTATTGTTTAGCTGTTATAAACGCAGTTGCAGTATGCTACATAATGCTGATAAGTCAACCAATCATAAACTGACTATGAACTTTTCATCTTCTATGCTTTTTGACTACCAACACATTGCGCTAAGTTTGTTTTAAAAGACCTCATTCTACTGCCACTTCTTGACCCTTGCTTGTACCATGCATACCCTCAGTAGTGCTCCAGTACTTGAAAATAACAGGTTCTCCACTCTGTACAGTTTGTGCTTTATAAGGTTTAGTCGTGACGAAATCGTTGCTTTTATAGGTGAAGAAGATACACTCAGTTCTCCGTCAGCACGTCTGGTGATGGGCTCATTGTCTAGAGGAGGAACTGGCGCGTTTGATCTGATAATGAGTCCAGAGTATTCGACTTGATAGCGAATCGGCGATGGTGAAGTTTGCGGAACTTGGATTTCACTGAAATCCTCTCAAATGTAGGCAATTTGGCCTTAAAGTGTATCCATTGAAATGTGGATCATTTGATGTAGTTTTCGATTGTTTTATTTTGAAACGGTTGATTTACACTATCCAACAAAAGATGATTGTCATCATTGTCGCTAGGTTCTGTTGCACGCTCATGAGAGTAGTTGTAGAGAAGTTGTTATTTTTACATCTTATCATTTTGTTGGTTAGTCGGAGAGTCATCCATATATCATTTTACCGTACCTTCATATACAGTTCTAGCGCAGTTATGTTGTTAGCGCGATTTGTTGATTTTCGCTGCATTGTCTGTTATTGTTGACTTGTTTACGTTGGCTTGTCCCTTACTTTGAAGAACAAAGTACGAAATAAATAGTATTATTACATAGTCTGCATGTGTATATGTCTGGCAGTTGAACATCAAAAATCATCTGTACAGCTTTATTAGAAGCGTCGTAGCGCTTCAAATTGTTACATACATACAAAGACTTGTCGAATCATTAGACAATGTTTGTCGTAAAGCTCTTTTCCCGATGAGAACCAATAGTTTATGAAAGCATGGAGATTTAGAAGCATAGAGAAGCAGATGGACGTCGAGCATGGATCCATGTGTTGTATTTTTATGCTCTCTCGTTATTTCGTTGATGATCACGAAGAAGGCGTGAGGCTTGGTACCGCAGGTAGGCAAAGGGCCCAGCGGAGTCCAGTTCGTGAACGAGCAGTATAGGGCCACATTCGGACGTCCATTTCGTTCTGCATACAGCGGCCCTTAGACTGCAGCATAGAACTCGTCGAGATCATCAACTAATTGTAGCGACATTTGGAGTCAGTGTTGTCGGTCCTCACTGGAAAGTAAAGAAAATTAGTTGGCAACAAGGTAATGTTTCAAGCCCTTTCAGAAGCTAAAGCTTGACAAAAAGTGTGAGTTTAGCTTCTTGTCAGTTTAGGAAGTCTAGCCAGTAAGAGAATGTAATCACCTTGGTCGCTGATTCTGCGATCGCGGTCGCGACAAAGTCGCTCTGGCAAATCGCGGAGGTGGTTGTCTGTACATGAATTCGAGTGTATCGCGTGTCGGATGGATGATACTAATCATGACAGATAGGTAGGTGGCTAGATGAAGCTGAGATAGCAGTAGTTGTTGAAGTTAGCAGTAATTTGTTGTGATTTCAGGGTCTTCTAGCAGATCAGCGTCCGCTCCCTAGCCGCTTTTATACACGGGCCGAATGCCGACTCCGCCCATTGCGAGCACCGGCTGCATTAACCCCTCACATACACACGCTCTCACACACTAGCACTTGGCCGATGACGACAACAGACCAACTGGGCACACGGCCAACGCTCCGCCTCCGCACGCTCTGTTGTTGAGACGCAGCGACAGCAAGCCGTTGTCGTAGCTGACAAAGCGCCGGTGTACGGTAACCGGTTGTGTTGCAGGAGGCGAGATTACGGTAGCCATTGTGAGCAGTATGCTAAGTTTCAAGAATGAATGAGTGTGCCGAGTGGGGTGTTGAATTAACTTAATTTACGAGCTAGAGTTCTCTTCTCATGACCATGAGCGTGAATAACAACATTTGTTGTCTCATAAAAATCCCTGGAGAAGTTTTTAGTGAGACATGCAAACAAGCATAAGTCTTTGTAACTTGAGCGTAAAATTAGCCAATATTGTTTTCCCTGCAGCGATGTAGCTTTTATTGTTTTGTTAATCGAGTGTAGTGTCTTCTTGTCTGTGTCCGACTTCCGTTATTCGCTAGAGGGTCGCAAGATTGAGCCAAAACACTCCTAATTATCTCACTTGTACATCAATCATAGTTATATTCTCTCTTGAAGTTGGGGTCTGAGGCTTTTTCATGGCTTAAGAAAATATGAAATACTGCTAATAAATTATATATGAATACTAGTTGGCAAACCCGGCTCCGCCCGGCCCTGTCATTATTATATTGTAATCAGCATGCTCGATTACCCCCTTGTGCCAACTCCCAGCCCCGTAGCTCAAATTTTGCAAAAAAACAATAAAATCGATATCGATCGATGACGAAAAGTAGCCTATGACACCCGCCGAGGCCCGAAGTGTATGTGTGCCAAGTTTGGTCCAGATCGGTTCAGAAATGGAATTTTCTATTTGGAACATACGTACACACACACAGACATACATACAGACATACATACAGACAAACAGACATTCAGCTTTATATAGAAGGATATAAATATAAATATATGAATATATAAATATGAATATAAAAATGCGAATTATGAATTTTCATACAGAATAGTAAGAAGAGTTTCGCAGAAATTTTTCGAATGTACTGGGTAAACCGCCCGCTAACGACTTTTATCTGCCATGCGTTGCAAGTGGAATTATTGAAAGCGAGAATCTAAGAAATTCCAACTTCTTTGCCTAAGAAGGTGATCGAAACCGACTTGCTCTCTGCTTTCAGAAAATATATAGTTTATCTGGGTTCCATCGTCTAAGATGCTGATGAAAGGAGTGAGACTATTTCTAAAGGTTTATAAATTCCCATTATGAAAAAACCCCTGAACATACTTTTTTCTCAAAACACCATCTGAAATTCGTGAAATTATAGGATGGATGATATGATATATTGCAGTGAAAGGGAAAGGGAACATCTTTCAAACAGTACCGAAATTTGCTCATAATTAATCTGGTCTAAAAACTTTTTATTCAAGTTTCTCAACGTATTTTGTGACACATGCTAATTTTTCCTTTTCACATTACATTTCGCTGAATGTTTATCTTGAAGGGAATTAATCTAACTACCTCAATTGATAAAAATGAAGGTGAGGATTATTCATACGCACTACTTTCTCTCCACGAGCACATGCAGTGAATAAGCACTGTAACTCATGAAAATTTGCACTTCAAGTATGTCCTTTTCTGCTGGGTTTCTGCAAATTTGATTTTTTTTATTGAGGTAGTCTACACTGTTTGAAGCTGGATCAAGCCGGAACTATTGCAATCGTCCATCTAAACTAAAATCCCGTAACTGCTTGTTCAGTTTTCTCTTGTGTACTCAGCTTTTTATAAACAAAACTTGTTTTTTTTTCGCGTCTTGTCTACCCATTCTGCAAGTGAAACGTAAAGTACTTGTGATCTCAAAGGTCAATTTTATTCTTAGAAAATCACATGGAAAGGCGTCGAAAGATCAAATAATGATGGAAAACTCGCTTTTTCAGTTGAGAAACACAAAGATCAAAGAATATAATTTTCTTGTAACTTTTTGCACTCCATCAATGTTGAGTCATGTGAAGCGAATTACCAGCACCTGACCAAGTCAGTCAAGCAGTGCGCGGTGAACGGTAGTTGTCAAGTAAAGTGTGATTCATCCATGTCTTTTGACGACGAGGGGCCTCTACTCGTCGGATGAGAATTACTGATGAGATTTATGATGAAGACCTAAAGGTTTCCACTTTGATGAATAAACATTCAGAAGTTGCTGGTCTCATGACGTCGTGGATTTCGCAATTTTTGAGGAGTCAACAATCTAAGTGCCGCGGAGGGTCTAGATATCATAATGTCATCTAAGGAAAGGGACAAAACGGAGCTAAATAGTAAACGTTTCGATCTCGTATTCATGTAGTGTTTATGACAAATCCAGGTTGTTAAAGTGTATCATTATCGACTCTACTTTTGACTATGTCGTCTTCCTCGGGAGTTTCAGATCCACCGCGATGATGGTAGAAAGTCAGCAGTAGCGGACGAAAATTGAAAGCTTGCTATATCAATAAAAATAAAACGGTCCTTCGTCGAGATCCTCAGCTATTTCTAAGACAACGAGCGGCGTTGAAGTTGATGAATTGTCATCTCTCTACATATGCTAACTACGCTTCTGAAAAGTAATAGTTCAAAACGTCTCGTAAGTTTTTAAATAGATATCAGTGCTGCGCTTTTCTAGCATAGTCCAGCTAGAGTGTAAGAATTCTTGCCTTGTTTATACTGAGTGGGAAGATAAGCAGTTGGCAGTAGCTGTTTCACAATGTCTTGAGAAAAATACCCCCCCCCCCCATTACTTTAGTCCATGCTCGGATTTCTTAACATTTCGGCAAAAATTTGAAAATTCTATGGATAAGTGACATCAATTACTACACTTTTAAACGAGCTGACTTTTCGTTGCTATAAGAAAGTAATTTTTCGCCTTCTGATTTAGCATCCCCCCTCTACACCCCTTCGCCTGCTCGATCCCCCCTCCCTCTCCTCCATCCCCCTTCTTCTCAGGTGATCTTCATGAAAAGTGTTGCTCAACACATGATAAGTAGCAGGAAGTAAATCGTAATTATCACTGCAGAGCGCTTTATTTTTACACATTTTCACGCGCTACACGCTTCTGCAAAGGGAACAGCGAACAAAAGCTCTTTACAAGCAGCGCCACTTTCGCTTTTCTGTTCTTTGCGCACACGACGTAAGATGTTCGCTTCGCTCAGTATTGTACATAATTAAATCAGAAAACCGCACAAGCGCCTTCGAGTTGTTAGGCGCCGCTAATATGGCGAAATTGTTCTTATTCATGATGCGATCTGGGAATTTCTACAATCCAGTAAAATATGGGGCACAACGCAAGATTTTAGGACTATTTCAAAGAAAACTTTGTATGTAAGGCAGTCGCATGCGAAATGATTTTTTTTTTCAGAATTTGCGTCTCTGTCATTCAATCAAGGATTAAGATCTTTCTGACGCATACATAGCACATGGTTTATGCTCAATATTAGTGATTGAATTTTTTTTTCATGTGAAGAGAACATTGGGAGTTTGCTAATTTCAGAAATTCTTGTATATATTCCTTACTCTCTCTCTTGAAGCAATTTGCTTCCATTTTTTTCGGATGGGAACTTAGTTTTGCGCTGGATAAAGTGAATGACTCAATAATAATGAGCTAAGAGCTGTTAACGTCTGCTAGTCTGTGCGTATGTCTGTCTTTCATAAGTGGAACCTTTAAGAACTGTGCGTCAAGCGGATCCATACAACATTTGGCCCACCGAAGCGATCGGTAATTGAACTTATTGCAAAGTCGTGGATCTGTCCAATAAATAAGTTCGCAAACCATGGACTTCTATCCAAATAATGAGCCGAAAGTCTATTCATAGCAAAATCTGGCACAAAAAGGAGCAAATGTGTAGATTGACGAAAATTTTTACAAAGCCAGTCAAGGTTTTTGTGAAGAATTTTGCTCGAAACTGTGGCTCATGCAAGTGAAGTGTTTTCTATAGAAAATACAATACCATTATAACTGGAGTAACTGACTGAAACCGTCTTTGATCTCCTCAATCATAGATCTTTCTTCTCCCAAAGTTAAAGCTGTTTTATGGAAAAACTATTGAATTGAGTAGTTGCTCACCATTTTTTTCGTGA